AAGATGGTTGAATGATTTTGGCACCCGAACATGAGATAAAAGCAATCTTAGAAAATATCGCTCACCCTCATTCGGACGGACAGTAACCACTCGGCCAATTACTTTTCTACGCTTTCTGCGAGTCCAATTTTTCTTATCAGGATGCCAAACAAAGTGCTCTGGAAACTCTCGATATAGGCATTTAAGCTTGCGCGCCTGTTTATTGCGCCTATTCATGGTAAAAAATTCAGTCAGCATCGTTTTAGTAAAATCCGAACTATCAACCAGATCTGACAAATTCGTATTCTTGTGGAAAGAAACAACTTGTTCTCCTGGAAGATGCAGCTGAAGCGTGTAAACGGAAGGCGTCATTTCATTCAACGGGAACCTATAAATGCGCCACATTGCTTCAGCCGCTGATACCCATCTAGCAGACTGAAATTCATGGATCTCATCTATGTCTACTGGATCATTCTCGAAATGTATATGAAAACTCACCCGATCGTGTCCCTTGTAGACATATTTATACAAGTACTTGACCAGTTTAACAGTGGAACAGATTTCGACATTTAAGTAACAATCTATAAGAGCAAGAAGGTATGGAGTGTAGGGGACAACCCATCTATTGTCCAAAGAATGGTTCCTGACCCTAATAGATCTGCCATTGTTCCGTAGTCTATAATGCGGGTAACCATCTTCAGAATGCGTAGTATGCTCAATATACTCCTTCGGATAATGATTTTTACACGTTCCATTCTGCATACAGACATTTTCTTTGTTCAGTGATCCACAAGGACCGTGCATCATGTGTTTTATGACAAGAGAGTACAAGTAACTCTGTTCATTTGGGTCGGGCAGCTCAGCAGAAACCATTCTATCATATGTCTCTGGGTTCAATGGTTTAGCTTCTGGTTTTAAAATCACAAGTATGTGGGCATGAGGAAGGCCTCTTTTCTGGTATTCAATTACATAAACAAAAGCCGCCACTTCACCAAATAGTTTCTTTTTAATTATCTCAGTTTTAAGCACCTCAAACTTTGCCCGAAACACCCTCGCAACCAAATCTGGCCTATCCTGAGCTTCCTCATCATATTTCAAGTTATCACGTATCTCCTTCCACATTGTGTTACAGGTCATAGTCAAGAACAGGTCGGGTTTACCAAATTTCTGCACCAAAGACATAGCATCTAGGTACCTACGCCTCATATCCCTTGGACCACCAATGAAAGAAGCTGGTAGATATATCCTACGACCAACCTGGTTCCCAGTAGTACAACCAACAGACATGCTATCAATGACTCCCTTAAGCACCTCGGATCTAATTTCGTTCTGTTTTTTCCTATGAAAATTAAGCCTCGACGTCTCGATCTTAACATATACATCAACCGTGAATTGCTGTAACAAACGTCTTGCGTGCAACAGCATCGACATGCCATTATCTCGCATCTGAAATTTATAACAGTAATACTCTCTGGCAGACACAGTGTCGCGTTTTGTTTTCCCTTTCTCGGCAGCTGGGAAAAAACATAAAAGGTACGGCAATCTCTTTTAATAAGAGGATCAATAGTTAGGCAGGAGAAAGCCTGTTTTAAACTTGTTTTTATGAGCAGGAAAATACCTGTTTTTTTGAGATCAATCAATTCAAAAGCTCCTTCTATCAGGGAAACATCGCTCAACATATCATCTTCATCAATGCTTCTCTTTTTAGGACAGGAAACAATTTTTTTTGGAATACCATGATGCCAGCCAGATTCCCCACGAGGGAACAAGAGCGGATACTGCAAGGGGTCGTAACAAGCAAAATAATGCTGTATCCTATGGCTGGAACTCGAATGGCTGTACACCTGAATGTGAACATTTTTCTCGAGGGTTTTGTCATCGCTTTCTGTCCAAATTCCAACTACTTGAGAAGTAGCTGGAAGATTGTATACCCGCTGATCCAATCCTGGATCAGAATTCAGTATAATCCGATGTCTTTCAAGGTGAGGAACTTCACGAAGACTCCTAAAGAACTTGGTATAAGGATTCCTCTGAAGTGTATGTATTAAAAATTTAAGAGTGTCGGCTCGCAAACGGGGCGAGTCTCGAAGTCTCATTGTCACTTCATCATCGTAGTCATAGAATAGCAACTGAATACCCGTAGGAGAGGGGGACGAAGGCACGACGCTGTTAAGGAAGTGATAGACCTGACCCTGTACACGGAAAGTGTAAACCCCATGGCTATTTTTTGTGAGGTTTCTATCATATTTTGCAGCAAAGGTAGTGAAAGCAAGATTGTTGTTAATCGTACGAATATTCCTGCGAAAGTCCATACTTTCTTCGTCCGTTCCAGTGAAAAGTCGAATGAGATCATACGGCATTGCATGCTGCACAATCGAAACGGCCCCGTTTGAACAGCAAAAGCCTGGAGGTTCAAGGTAGAACCTCTTTGCACCACAATGACGGCAACAAGGGACATCAGGAAGGGTCAGGGGTTTAGATGGAATCTTTTCTAAACGAGACAGTCGCGTGGTGTTAGGCTTTAACCGCTTGTCAGATTGAACGGCACCTGCTGGTTGCGAACTAACCAAGCTACATTTAGCAGGTCTGGCCAACGAAGAGCTAGGGGGAGCAGGAGATGGGAAGGGAGACACTTCTTCAGAGTTGATAGTTTCATGAGCTGATAAGAACGAAAGAAAAGGATAAAATAGTGGAAAAGCGGGGAAAAACTTAAGTTAAGCGTGGTAAAACAGGGTTGAGTAGCAGGAGGATCAATAAATGAGACAGTAAAAAAAGGAGGAAGAAGAGTTTCAATGTGGCTGGACTGCACAAGTGAATAGCTGTTGGAGAGAAGATTATACCTCCATGAGGTAGTAACGGGTCGTGAGGGTAAGAAGTAGGAGGAGGTGATTGCTGAGACGAAATATGTATAGCAATAGGTGTTTGAATATCTGTAGGATGGAGCGGCTGGTCACTCGAACTTGATAAGGCAGAACAGCTAGAATCCAGTCTAGACCTAGAAGGAGACCTCTTATTGGCTTGTTCGGACTGCCTATGAGGACACACAATCGAGGGAGTAGCATGAACAGAAGAGGGTTGCGTTTTATGCGCAGCATATTTTTCTCTCCTTCTATGCAACATTGCATCTTTTAAATGTTGCGGCATATCTGCATAGCGCTTACGGCGAGCTGCATTACGATCCATAAGGGCAGGAGGAACGGAAACAGGCGGATTGGTCCTTAAAAGGCTAGCGGCAGGAGGGGAAAAAAGAAGCATGAAAAAATAACTGAACTAAAGGTATAGAAGAAAGATAAAGGTTCACAAGAAGTTCTATACAACAGTTGCACGTCTGATATAATAATAGCAAAGAGGATAAAAGCAGCAGGAGTATTAAATGAGAAGGAGGGAAAAAACTAACAAGCTATCACCCAAACAAGCCAAAGGAAAAGGAAAAGAACGCTAATAACAAGTAAATAATCAAGAAGCAATATGAACTCAATGCACTTAAAATGCTAACGACAAGAAAAAACTAAAGGCAGCGGGAAAAAACAAGAGAAAACGAATAAGCAAAGAAGCTAGAGTCAACAAATAACTATGAGGTAGAAAGCAAGCAAGAGACATACTAAAAGCAAGCAAGTGACATACTGGATTTTTTAAACAAGGTATAAAGAAAGAAAGAATAAAATCAGTAAAAGAGCTGCAGGCTCCTATGACCGCTGGGAACATAAGCGAGATTCTATAGTGTTTGGGGGGGGGAATGCAGAGAAACGAAACATTGGAGCTTAAAAAAAGTAAATGAAAAAAAAGGAACGAAACAAGGGGTTCTGCATGGCAAGTACGAAATGGGAGAAAGAACTTATAAGAAAGTACCTCAACTTAAAACAGGAGTCCGAAAATGAGTAGAACGTGAAGGAACCAAGTCTGAGAGTTCTAAAGGGACACCTGAGAAGGAACAAAAGAGGAGAAACAAATGGAATAGAAAGTTAGACACATCCAGAAACAGAAGGAAAGAAGAAAAAAGAGAGAAATAGTGATGGCATGCAGCCATGTAAAAAAAAAAAAGGAGGAGGAGAGTAGTTACCACAGGAAGGCGCAGCTCAAGAATTCATGGAAGAGCTTCTCGGTGGACAGAACAAATGCAGCACATAGAACAAAGACAGTGAGACCGACGGCACTAATAAGAGATAAAGAAGAAGGAAGAAGCTAATGTAAAAGATATGAATAAAGCTTACCAGTATTGGGCAACGGACAGGCTTACGTATCTCGAAGCAGACAATCCAGGCAAGCACAAATATAGAACCCATCGATAGCAGAGTTCCAAAGTGCAGAGGTTCTTTTTTTGTTGCAGCAAGTTGGCAACCGGGCAGATACGGAAAAATAGCAATTTTTTTGAAATGCACTTAACAAGACAGTTCTTTGTAAGACGGCTATATAGCTGAAACTGCTTACTTGCAGTCGGGAAAAGAAAGTATGAGCTGCTCTTTCTTTTTTTGAGGGAGCCCTAAAGTATATCTGAGGCGCATGTAAGAAGTTGAAAAAAAAACAAGTCAGCGCTCTCTATGGAAAGATTGAATCCGGGCACGTGGCTTTGGTACAGGGCAACAGGCCCCTCCCCCAATTAGGTAGCTGGATTTGTTCCTGTCTGAGGGAAGACGTTCCCCCCACCCCCCGGTTTGATGCATCTGGAGGTGCTGGGAAGTATGGATTTATTTTCTTGGCGAATAAAAAACGTACACGCAGCACGAAGGAAATAAAAAAAGAAGAAACCCCGAGCTTATGCGGCACAAGTTCGCAACTGGGTGAATGGATTTGATTAGCTGGAAATTACATTCCGCGCGTTTGATAGGAAGCATAGCAATTCCTACTAAGAGTGAATGTTCTGAAAGAGTCGTGTTTTATTATAGCAACCAGGGGAAATTATATTTTGCTGACGAAAACATTCCGATGGGGTTTCAAAAAGGGAGGGGGGGAGATGCCGGGACAAAATGGTGCTTACGAAAGGTAGAAACCATCACATTACAAAAGCCTGCAACAACTAATAATTGGACAAAGTAGACTAAAAGTATAAAACTGTTATGAGCTAAGGTACACGCTAATCATTTACAGGTATAGCATCTCCAACCCAATAAGATGTAACAATAGTAAAGCTGACTCCGGCCAATTGAACGGATTCAGGAGAACGGCTAACATAGCAGCACAAGACCCTTCCATCGAGCGCATCGGCAACCCGGAGGTTTAGGGTAACACCCTACATAAAATAGCATATTTTAGCAAAACAAATGCAGCGCACAGAATATGCAAGGAGCAAGCATTCACAGAGAAGTAAACTGATGAAAACCTCATGTTCAGCTTGACTAAGCTGGTATGCAGTGAAGCCTATCAGCTTCTCAGCCTCATAACCCAAGGCAATGACATTGATGGAAGCAGTACCATAAGTAACAACTAACTTAACACGTGCTCTGAGAGTAGAATATAAGTCAATTAGTATTAAAGGAACAACAGGCGAAAATGCACTCAGAAAGTAAAAGCAAACAGCAGAAAAAAAACAGCAGCAAAACGTAGACAACGAGTAACATGGCCGTACCTAGGAAAAACATAAAGATCCTTAAGAAAGGCAACACAAGAAATTCCCAGAGTCTCAATAAAGTTATTGGGTGTGAAGCAGTAGGGGCAAGCCAAATGCCAGAGCCGATGCAAGCGATCAACAGAAACTCGGCCCTTAATCCACGAAGCACCCATAGGCTGTAAGGAAAAGAAGAAGCGTTTCCATAAGGACGGCAAAGAGGGTAATACAGAAACTGAAGGTGGGGAAAAAATGCAAAAAGGAAAAGAGCAGAACAAAGAAGATGACTAACAAATTGAGTTGGTGCGACAACGTCGGAAATAGAAGACAGCATGGCGTCGCTAACAGGAGGAAGTAGTAGAAGGGGGTCGCAGTAATGTTTTTCCAAAACCGAAGACATTAGTGCAGAACGATTGCTGCGATACCTGCATGGAGACAATTGTAAGACAGTAACGATAACCCAAGTTTGGCATGGGTATAGAGAGGGGAAATAATTCCCCTGCACAACTGTAGAAAGGAGGAATAGACAACCAGTGTTCAAGACGGGCGGCTTCCTGAATTCTCGGAGAAACCAAAATGGTTGAAGTAGCCTTAGTACAAAGGGACAAATCTGAACGACAGGGAACAGAACACGTAGAAGGAAGTAGGTAAATTAAAAAAGGAAACAGAATTGAACATGAGCCTAGGCAAAAGATACAGAACGAACAATTGTCGGTCTTAACCCTGACTCTAACAGCAATAATAACTGGCTTCGATTCAATGGAGGCAATTGAATCTGAAATAGCATCTCCCGCTCCAGACTCGAGATCACCGTTTAGCGTCAAAAGAATAGGCATATTACTGGAGGTTAAACAAACACAAAAAAAGACAATCAGTAGAGGGAGAAAAGGAAAAAAAAAGCGAGGAAAAGTAGTAGCGAAAACAACCTCTGATCAACAACAACGTAGTCTCTGGTAGCAACTAAAGGAGCATCTAAATGGGACTCCCTTTTTGGCAAAGCATATAAAACAACTCCCATCATGTCTGCTGGAAATCAAGGCAACAAAAGGTAACGAGTAGAACTCCACAATCAAAAGGAACTAAAGGGGGGGGAGGGGGGAAGGGTAGCACAAAAGAAAGAACAAAACGAAAGCTCACTTATAGAGGCTTGGCTGTCAGCCAAATGTTGGAAAGAGGTGAAAGGCGTAAGATGAAAATAAGGCGGAAGGCTCGGCATATCAGGCTCAAAAACCTCTCTGATCAAAGTATCTTTATTTATAATCCAAAAAAAGCGGTACAAATCTGGAAGAGTAGGTTTGGGAATTTCCTCAACAGAAGCACCACCAATGCAGTATTTCTTGAAAGGAACAAGTAAACCTTCAATACGAGCAACATTACCATCAAAGGCAACAGCGGAGACCTTTACACCCTATCAACAGTAGAGGGGGAGGGGTAAATAAAAAAACAGCAGAGGAAAAGAAAGGAACAAATAAAAGAAGAGAAGGAAGGAAAAATGCGCACGTGCGAATCAGCAAAAACAAAGCGGCGATAAACTCTCGATGCACGGGCTGCATGGGTAGTTTTAGTATGAGACGCCTCTATGACCTGGATCACAGACGTCCACTGAGGAAGGGAACTATGGATCTCAGACACAGGCAAAGGCTCCATGGTCAGCTAGCAAAACAAAAAAAGGAAAACAGGTTCAGACCGTGGGAGAAGTCAATTGTACAAGCGTGCTTAAGAGCAGCAGGGGCCGAATGCATAACATGATCAAAAGAAAAGGGGAATGCTCTGGAATAAACAAAAGAGGAGGAATGAAAAAAACAATGCACAAAGTTTTACCAATGCAGAGTTCATATATTTGTGATGCTATAGGCACATTAGCAAACAATCTCAAAAAAGATAGTTCCTAATCATCCAATGGTCGACGACATCGCAACAAACGAGCTTTTAACCCCAAAAAAAAAAGCCGAATAAAGTATAAGAGACACGATAGCTAAAGCGCAAAAGAAAAGATGACTTTCATCCAATTCAGGGACTAAACCAGATTACAAAAGAAGGAAGAAACTTTATCAAACAGCAACTAAAAACACAAAGACTGTTTGAATGGGGAAAAAAGATCCAGAGGTAGGGGAAAAAAAAACCAGTAAAGTGTCGAAGACCGTGAAAATTTCAGCAACATCAAGCAACAACCAAAACCAGCAAAATTTCTTCAACCAGAAAAAGAAACAGAGTATCAATAGGTAGGCCAAAAAAAGTCCCAAAAAATATTACAGAGCATGATAGCAAAAGGGTCAAAAAGGGAAGCAGATTTCCCTACAATTCACGAATAAAAGGAATATTCAAAAAGACATCCTGGGATAGGAAAAGGAATTAAATGCAATAAACTCCTAACCTCTTGTAATTAATCACATTGCTAACCATAGCTACTCTTGTTTCAAACAGAATTCATGAGAAAGCTGAAGTCATTTTAACACCTTTTTTTTTGGAGTTAAGAATTAGCTCTACCAAAAAAAAAAAACAAAAAAGGAAAACTCTGGATCAACTTTGTTTATTCTGTTTCATTAACGTCACGTATTAGTAATAGAACTATACTAACTCAAGAACAACTAAGGAACGAAATCGAAATTATAAGTCAAAAGTAGCTGAAAAAGCAAAGTCAGCCCCAAAAACAATATTAGTGTACATTCCATAGGACCAAATTAAAACTAAAAACAACAAACTGTAGCTGCAAAAAAGAACTACATAAACCAAAAACAAGTAAAGGTAATCAATCCTCACCGAAGTAACCCTTAGAAATTAGAATGCTCCCCCTCCGACTTCCCTCCAAAAGGAAAACAGATTTCCTTCCAATTCATAAAGTAAACCATAACCCAAAAAGACAGGAACTTTATCAAGCAACAGCGAAAGAAGCAAAATCTGTCTGAACGAAAAAAAAGCCAAATCATATAGAGATAGGCAACGGCAACATACCAAGAACAAAGAACAGAAGAGCTTATTTTTTTGGGGAAGGGGCAGTTCCTTTCTATTTTTTTTCGGAGTGCAAGCTATATAGCAAAGGGTGGGGGAGCAGAAGGGGGAAAAAACGCAACAGCGCACAGACCAAAAGCACCATATGACAAAACACACAAATACGCATGAACAGGAGGGGAAAAAAACAGAGCAACGCCGAGGGAAAGAAGACCTAAAAAAAAAAAAACCTAATTTGGCTGTTGTTGCACCAAAAAATGATCAAATTAAATTCAATTTTATTTATTGAAGCATGACAATCTAATTTTAAGTTTTACTAATTTTGATGCAATAATCGTCTCACTTAAATAGCTAGACAAGTTTGGTACAATCCCTAATTTTTCTACTTACGTGTACCTTGTAATTTCCCTTCTTAGATGTAAGTTCCCTTGTAATTTTCATCCCATAACTTTTGATTTTTGACTAATTAGGTATGAGTTAATAATCATTCAATTTGGGCAGAAATTAATGTTTAATCACTCAAGTTGGACGGAATTAAAATGCGTAAGGGGAAGCAAAATTCATTAGATTGGACCCACTTTGCCTTCCCTATGATTCTTTACACTCACTATTCAGTAAATTTATCCATATTATTTTCAAAATTTGATGAATTTTAGGTGATGAATTTTGAGGCACTAATGACTTTTTCCTAACGATATATGCTTGCCCCTCATACATTTCATTCTGTCCAAATTGAGTGATTAAACTTCAGCTTTAGCTTAAATTGAATGATTAAACGTCAATTGTCTCTAATTGGTCAAAGATTAAAATTTAAGAGGCTAAATGTGTTTTTGCTAAAACAATAGGGACCAAAATTGGTCCAAACTCCAAACAATGTGAATGAAAAGTACATTTCCCCTATTGTTATTCCTTGACTTTTTGTCCTTATTGCAGCAAAGTCTGCAAACATCCTTTTAGGAAATGAGTCAGTTGAAGAAACGAAGGTGACAAATCTGCATTAATTTTAATTCTTTCAATTTTTCTTTTCTTTTTTTTAAAATTTTCTACTCTGTGCACATATAAAGGGCAACCAACTTTAGATATAGCCACGCATTTTTTGATATAAAGGGAAACCAATAATAATTTTTCAGTCCAATCAAGAAACCATTTTTTGCATAAAAGATAAATTGAAAGGTCTTTTATTTTGTCTTTTATTTCCATAAAGAACAAATAACTAAGACTACCATCAGGTCCATCTCATGTTGTTGCCATTGATAATTAACCTACTCGTTCCTTTTCCTTCACTCAAAGCACTATGTCAAGAAGAGAAAAGACATCATTGAATAAAAATGACTTAAGAATTTCTCTTTCAGTCCTTTTTCTCTCAATTCTATCATTAAAAAAGAGTGTCCCTTCCCCTTCCATATTTGCGGATGAAATTGCATGGATCTTCTCCACCGTCCTTCTCAACAAAGTTTTTTTTTTTTTTTTTTTATGTTCTCTACTCTTTACTCTAAGAAAAAAAATGTAAAATAAAAAAAGGTGGACTAGTTTATAAAGCATTGAGTTTAGTATACTACTTAGATATTTATTAAAAAAAAAGCTACTACATATGTCCTTAATGTTATACCTTCTTGCATCTCAAATCAGTTAGGTAGGTCTCATGACGTCAATCTTAATTGCAATGTCTTACATTATTTTTCTTAAGCAAATAGAAATTTTTAGCAAACATAATATATTCATAAAAATGTACATACATTATTTTTCTTAAAGAAATAGAAATTTATAGCAAAAATAATATATTCACATAAATGTTGCATACCTACAAGTCAAATATGGGATCCCAATCTTTTTTTTTTTTTTTAAATCCTACAAGTCAAATATGAGATCCTATGGGTGGGACTAAAGAAACATGAAGAGAGAAGAAAGACTAGAATCCAGGACCTCTAATTCCTAACTGCGTCAATGTTAGTAATGACTAGAGTAAGGCCTCCTTAGTATAGGATTCCAATACTAAAGGCCCGTTTGGGGTTGCGGTGTTTTTAGTAAAAGAGTACTTTTAGGTGCTAAAAGTACTTTTAAAGTATTTGGTGAACATCATTCTATAAAATTAGGAGTAGAACTTTTGATGCTAAGAGCACTTTTAGTAAAAGCTTAAATTTGGTGTTCTTAGAATAGTCACACAATTTGGTTGAGAAAAATTTATAGTTTTTTCACTAGGAAAAACCCTTCCAAGAGAGATCCCTTCTTCTTTTGGATGAATTTTAGGTATTTTTCTCTCAAGATTTTATTGAAAATCTCACACAAGACAATATGTGTATTGATTAGTCTTGTTAACAAAATTTTAGAGAGTATTTATAGACATAGAGATTGTTCAAATCCTTATAAAAAAAAACTTAAAACTAGTTTTCAATAAGACTTAGTTTCCTTATTTAAATATAACTCTTACATTGGGAGACAACTTTATTTGCATCATAAATCCCTCAAGTTTGATTTGTAAGACAAATAAAACTATAAATTATAAAAACTTATATATCAAGTCCTTATTTAAAATTCTCTTAATCTAATTAAAGAAAATCTTAATGTGTGTGGCCCATTAGGTTCTCATATACGTTGGCAATAAGCATAAGTTATAATTCTTACTAAATAAGAACTAGATAAATTAAACACTTTTAATTTATCATTGATTCAATCAAGTTTGACATCTAGCAATGTATCATGACCACTCAAAGTAATGAGAAAAATCAAGTAGATAACTTCACCTCTCAATGAATATTTACTGTGTAATTAATATCTTTTCACCATACTTATCGTATATTAGTCTGAGAGTATATGTCTATTCTATATACACTAACATTATTTTCTTATACCAAAACATGACTCTAATAAAAAAGTACTCAGAAACACTTTTTAAAACCTTTCCATTTAGTGCTAAAAATTTTGAATTATATCAGTAGCTAATCATGAGATAACTTCTTTAACATAAGAGGTGGTAAATTCTTATAAATTATTCATATTATATCCAATCACTAACAATTTGAGCTGCTTAGTTACGAGAAGCAATCAAATAGAATCAAACCATAATAATTTATACTCAAGATATTATGATAATTTTAAATCTATTATGATAATTTTAAATCTAAGGATCACTTACACAAACATAATTTAAAGACTAATCCTTTGGCATTTTAAGGATATCTTTATGCGAATCACTCTAGTGAATTTGATCATCTTATCAAGCATCCATATATTAGTTTAGATATCACACATCATAATAGATAATGCCTACTACTTCTTATATAGAAGCGACATAAGTATATGTCAGTCTAACCGTATTAACAATACAATGCCCTATCTTGTAATACTTTGACTATATATTTAAGAATAAATCTTTATATATAATCGAATGAATCTCACCATCATAACTTTTATGATTTCATTGGCTAGGTTTACTCTAAAGGTTTTATCATATAAATATAAATATGTAAGTAATTAATATGATAAAGATGTCATTAAAAAAAGATATCATTTATTATAGCATAAATAGTTTGAGTGCATATTAGACCTTAGAAATTGAATGACCTTAGGACATACACACTCTCAACTAGAGGATTGTACATATCCAACATTACACTAGCTAGATTGTCAAGCGAATATTAAAAATAAAAAGGGTTCATGCTCCTTTTTCTGAGCCAAACCGAGAAAATGCCAGTAAGGAAGTCTGGGATATATATAAGCTTTCGGAGTAGATCAGGATATATCTTTCGGAGTTGATAAGGATCCACCAACTTGCATTACGAGAAAGAGCAACACATTTTTTGTCTCAACTTTCAACCTCATGTGCTCGGACTCCACCTCTTTATAACCTAACTGGTAGGAGCAGTATTATGTAGTTATCCGAAATGCTAAAACTGATATCCCATGCATTGTCTCTAGAATATAGACGAACGCAATATGCACATGATGCAACTGAACATTTTCCCAAAAGTTATTGCATGGCTCTCAAGATATTTAGCCGATCCATTTCATTGATCTTCTCAAGGACAAAATTGAAGAAAAGAGTCCTCTTTTTAGTGCCCTGTTTCTGTTCTTCCTCTTCTCGTTCAGTTTCTTGTTTCTTTATTTTCTCTATGCATCCATCGCAGAGCTAGCTCCTCCTCCACCAGCCAGAACCAGCTGGATGGTGGACCACCCCAGCTCACTGGGTTAGAACTTAGACCCTGCTACCATCAGGGGCTTGCCAAGCTTTTCGTATGGTCGAGGTTGAATAATGAGACTTGCCCAGAATCCGAGTGCTCTATCTGTCTGAGTCTTTTTCAGGACGAAGACAAGGTGAAAGTTTTGCTTAGGTGCCACCATGGTTTTCACTCCAAATGCGTGGATAAATGGCTCAGGACTCGTTCCATATGTCCTCTTTGCCGAAAGTCTGTCCTTCAACTGGACTCATTGGTTTCCCAGAAATTCCTTCTGGTCCCGAAGTTCTTTCGTGATCAGGAATGGGTAAAATTGTTAAATCATTTCTTTGGCTCATCCTTTTTCTTTGGTTGAAGACATACGTAGGAGGATCAACCCATATCCTACAAGTATCGTACAGACACAGAATAGACAGAACAGCATATTCAATAGTCAATATAGATCATGAAATATTTTGTCTCCTTAATTGTATTATCTCCATCGGGATTGTGAAGAAAAGAAAGAGACAGAAAATTAGTTTCTTCATGAAGCTAATGTCTTCTTCTTTTTTTTTTATTGTGGTTGGAAAGAACGAGTACTTCATTTCTCAAGCTTCCATCATCAAGTACTTCCAATTCTGATACTGTAAAATTATAGCACTTCTCAGTTTCCTTGAAAATCGAATACCTAGACAGCAGTACTAGGACAGTTCGAAGTACTTAAAGGTTGCAATTTGCCAATACTAGTTTCAAAGCCAACGTCTTGGAAAATACTCAAACGTCTTGGGAACTAATTAGTAGGAAGATGTGTTGGAAGCGAGTTTTAGCCCAAGGATCATGGCCCAGAGGACAGGCTCTAAATTCCTCAAGGCTTACCTTTGTTTATCTGCCAATAGAAAGAAAAGCCCAACTTGCACTAGGTTCAAGTCTAAATTATGACTGCATTAGTAGCATTGAGTATTGACTTGGAAAAATGATTTTATTCCGAGAAGCTACCAAAGTATGTATGTATGTAGGACACGGGGCTGAACGGCTGCTAGAAAAATCGTTCGGGTCGAATTTGTGTAAAATGCAT